ACTGAGTCCAGTTGGGCTAGATGATGAGTTGGTCAATCTAATCGAGCCTCTCTCCTAACCACCGAAAAATTACAAGCTACAAAGTGTTAAGCCAAGAGCTTGATGTCTAGAACTGTTATCCCAAGGTTTGAAGATACTCGACCATACAAACTTTTCGAAGCGAAGTTCAGTCGTAGGAACTCAATTGTAATATAAATTAAATATGTAAATAATATAATTATGATTTACCTATTGTTTTCAAAATCTATTGGATTGGACAGTTCAAACGGATGGACTAGGAACCGGTTTATTGACCGTGGTTCGTTTGAACAAAACATTTTCGGTATTCTAGCAAACCGATCAATACCATTCGGTCGGACTGGTAAGATCGGTACGGTTTTCTAAATAATTTTTTTTACATTTTTTTAAATATTTAAAAATTTTAAATTGTTCATATAGAAAAAATTGAACAAATTTGATATGTGATAACGTATCACGTCAAACAAGACCCGAGAAACAACATGACCGTACTGGATGAACCGACAGTTCAAACAGAGATTGAAGTCATTGCAGGTCGAAGACTCCTCAGGTCGATGGGGACGTCGTTGATCCAAAGGTGTCCACGGATTTCGGTGGGTTGTCGTAAATCGCCGAAAAATCAAACAAGAAGACCGAATTTTGACAAGAATTTTATGGATCTAAAAATTTTAACTGGAGTAATTGACGACCTTACTGGTGGAGTTTTCGTATGCAATTTTAGGAGGTGAACGTTACTAGAAGAGCTTCATTATGATATAAAAAAATTTCTTATCGAAAGTGAACGTCTGGCGGCGGCAACGTCGACAACGGCGGTGGAGGCGGCAATTGACCATGATGTGCTTTTGTGGCTAAGATTGTGAAATTGGGTGTTGAGTAGAGTTGTGAACAATATTCGACTCTTCGTATTGTATTCGATTCACTACCGAATTTATTTGTGATTCGCATTCGATTCACAAATAGTCCATATATAATGTGTCATATATAAGTACATATTATACTATATATAATTATTATACTATATAATATGTACTTATACGATTTTTTATGACTTTTTGTACATATAATGATTTTTTGTACATATAATATATTACAAAAATCATTATATAGTCCATATATAATATGTACTTATATATATTATACTATATTATATAAGTACATATTATACTACATATAATACGTACTTTTATGATATTATAATGTGTCATAATTCGCATTCGATGTACTTTTATGATTTTTTATGATTTAATGTGTCATATATAAGTACATATTATACTATATATTAAATAGTCCATATCTACAAAAAAAATAAAAATAAAAATAAAGAAAAAAATAACAATAATAGTAAATAAATAAATTTTGTAGGTGATATGAGATTTAAAAGCAATCCATGTTTATCAAGAAATCCCGGTATAAGCATATTATTACAAGCTAGAACTTTTTTTGGCCATGATGTGTTTTCTTGGCTCAGATTGTGAAATTGTTTGTTGACTAGAGTTGTAAAGAATATTCTACTCTTCGTATAGTATTCGATTCTTTATCGAATTTATTTTTTTGAGTCACACTCGATTCGATTAAGTGATCGATTATATTCAATTCGGTATTCGTATTCAGAAATTAGTTATAACTATTTAAATATATTTGTATATTTTGTAAATAAATTTTTTGAATACAATATATATTTAAAAATTATATATTATTCAAATAAATTAAATATGATTTTTTAAATATAAATATTTTTTATGTTATATATATATTTAATATATTATATAAATAAATCTTATGTAGAATCTTATATTTGATATAATATATTAAATTATATATAATTATTATTAGAATATGAAATATTGGATAATTTCAAATCGAATATGTGCATATTCGTATTTAGATTTGAATAAATTTTGAATACTAAGTTCGAATTTAAATTCAAATTAGAGGACCAAGTTGGTCAGTATCAAGGTTTCTTCGCAGTCTCTGCTCCGCGTGGCCGTCGATTCCGTATTTTGTGCTCGTTATTAACTCAACAACGTAACTAGTACTATTTTACCCGTGTACATGCACAGGCGAAGGTAATTTAATTATATTATAAAAATTACATAAAGTTTAGATTCAACGATACGAATAAAAATTAAAATAAAGTATTATTTATATGAAAAATTAGTTACTTATATGAAAAATTAGTTATTTTTAAAATTATTAGTAGTGGTTATGATCGAATGATAACAGTATTTTTTTGTAAAAAAAAATATTTGTTATTTTTTGTTCAAAAGTTGATAACAATGTGATGACAATCTAAATATTTGTTAATTGTTTTTTTAAAAATATTATTATTTTTTAGTATTCAAATATAGAACAAATCAATACATTGGTCCAAAACAAACATCATTGGAAAAAAATGATATGATATATTGCATTAACAAATTTATTGGTTTGGAGCCTTACATTTACTACAAGAAAATGACGAAATTTTAACAAAAATATATTGCAACGGAATTTCATTGACAATTCTAACGAATATTTCAATGCTATTGCTGCCGTTTGAATTTTCCAATGAAAATTCTAACAAATAATTCGTTGGAATTATGAGCAAATCCATGTTTATTTAATTGGTCCGGCATGGAGCCTCATCCCAAAACATATAGGATAAGGTATCCAACTAAAGTTGTAGGTTGTAGAAACATTGTTTATAATTTAATCATGTCCCCTATTTAGAAAATAAAATTAAAAGAAATTTAAATTATTGTTATTTTTTTGTTTCTAAAATGGCTCTATTCATCCATTTAGGAGCTAGACGACACTAACGCACTATGATGTTGTTTAGGCGGCTATGCTATGCACTCAAAATAACTCTAAACCCTAAACCGTAAATCCTAAACCCTAATAGCATGATTGGTAGGAAGGAATGGCATGAGAATGGAATGATCATTCCCTTATTCATTCCTTATCCCATGATTGGTATGTTTTTTGGAAAGGAATAACCATTCCAATGGGAATGGCAAAACCCATATGCATGGGATTAACCATTCCATAGTTAATGGAAGGTTTTTCTCATTCTCATGTGTGTAGGAATCAATTTTTCAAAAAATAAAATTTACCAATAATAATAAAAAATAAATATCTAATATATATTATAAATCATGATTAAAATATATTAAATAAAATTATTTTAAAAAATAATATTCAAATAAAAAATTGAAAACTTACTTTTATTTATTGTTTAATTAGATATATTAAATACTTATATAAAAATAAAACTAAAGAAAAAGCATTTGTATATAATTTAAAAATGTATTATTTTTTATATATTAAAAATATATTACCTTTAAAAACATATTATTATAAATATATTGTTAAATAATATTAAAAATATATGTTATTAAAAATATATATTATTAAAAATATATTACTTCTTATTTTTATATATTATTAAAAATATATTACTTTTAAGAATATATTATTTTTTATATATAATTTTGAGATATATTATTTTATTTTTATAAATTATTAAAGTATATTATTTAATAAGATATATTATTTTATTTTTATAAATTATTAAAGTATATTATTTAATAATATATTATTTTATTTTTGTATATTATTAAGAATATATTATAGTACTTTAATATATTAAAAAAAGCATTTATATTTAATTTATTAAAGATATATTATTTTTTAAAATAAAGCTATTATTTATTTTTATAATAAAAAAATGATAATGTCATTTCATTCAGGTCTTATTCCTTCTGCATACCATATGCATCAATGACAAAACTTATTTCATTTCATTCCCATAATCATTCAAGTCTTCAATTCATTACATTCCTACGAAATTCTATTCCATTATACCAATCATGCCATAAACCCTAAACCTTAAACACTAAACCTGGGATAAAGAAATAAAGAAAATCAATTACAACACTAAAATTGTATAAATTCATGACATTTATTTTTTATTTAATATTTATGATTTTTTATGATTCAATATGTCATATATAAGTATGTACTTATATATTTTATTTAATTTTATAAGAATCGATGATAAAATAGATATTGGATAATATTGTTCTTATTTTTAATCCAAAAAAATTGATTAATTTTATTTCGGTTGTGTAGCTATTTTAGTCGGCTATTACGAGTTGTTTTTTATAACTGTAAATATTTTTTATGTATTCAGTATTATTCATAGCAATTTTCATTACACTTTTTTTTTGCACTCAACATTTTCAAATGTATCTGGCTAAAAGGTCAAATGATCCATTAGAACACTAAAATTGTAATAATTCTTGTTATATCTATTTCTCATTTTAGTTTTATGATATTTTATGATTCAATTTATTAATCATGTACATATTTATATATTTTTTTATTTTATATTTGTTAATGAATAAATTTAAGTCTATATTATTATTATTATTATTAATGTGTACTTGCATTTGGCATGGGAGTTTGTTTCCTCAATAGTTATATAATTATTGAAAATTGTCTCATAATATTAGTTGCTCACATTTACCAACCAAAACAAATTGAAATGAGCGCCATTGTTTTAGAGCAAATATTATCTTGGCCTAGTGGTTGAGAGTGAGGTACCTTTGACGTAAGGTCAAGGGTTCAAGCCCCCCGGAGCGCAATGGTGGAACAATTAATTCTGAGGACTTCAAGCGGCAGTGTGGAAGGCTGAAACTCGGTGGGAACCAGCTGTTGGATAGGTGAGGCCAGCATGAAATTGGGGGGACCGGCGAGCAATCACTTCGGATGGGACCAGCAGCTGGATAGGTGAACAATTAATTCTGAGGACTTCAAGCGGCAGTGTGGAAGGCTGAAACTCGAGGACTTCAAGCGGCAGTGTGGAAGGCTGAAACTCGG